AAATCTCTATAAAATATAAATTATTTTGAGACCAACGAAGGGATTTTATTTTACGTATTGGAAAATATTATTTTAGTTTTTATTTGGTGTAACGGATTTTTTTAATCTGATGTAATAAAATTTTAAAATTATGTATTTTGTATATTTTCTTATTGATAACTTGTTAATCTTGTAACATTTGATGAAGTGGATACATATACGAACGTCTTCAATATGCTTTAAAAAAATATGTTTTCAGAATAAGAATTAAATGAAAGTTGTTTTTTATACCGTTTTTTGTTTTATATTTACATTAAATTGTAATTTTGAATTACGTACGATATTTTATTTAATACACGAAATAACTTTTGTTGGTTTTGAACAACAACAAAAATAAATCACTCGAATTAAATTTCGTCCTAGGTGAACATAGATAGTGACGGGTCAACTAGTCATCATAAATATCCTTCAATTCATCAGTAAAATCTTCCACGAGTATAGGATAGGTCTTTGTCAAATATATATATATATATATATATATATATATACACAGAAGAGGATCAGAGTGAATAGCTTTTTTTAGGGTAAACGTAGGTTTTCGGGCCAACTAAGGGGACGTTTACCAAACACTTAACCAGTAAATTTAACATTATCATTTACTCACCGAATAAGATTTTAGTCCACCAAAATGGTATCGTATGCAACAATTTACCCGGTAAGCGCTTATCGTGGTAAGAGTCGTCGCCTTCACTTACCGGGTAAGACTTTTGGTCCTTGTCTCGCTCTTACCGGTTAAGATTTTTGATCCTTACTATATTCATCCGGTAAGATAAAATGACTTGGTGTTTTCACTTACCCGAGTAAGCGTTTGGGAAACGGCCAACTAAAACATACTGGCTAATCCCTGGAGGGCCATGAATGCCTAGTCATTGCAAACGAACCTTCATGGTCACAAAATCTTTTTAAGAGCGCTTGCATTCGAACCCATTGATGAATTTGGATACCTAAGAATACATTACCTCTCGTGATCTGTTGTTGGTGGGTTATTGACTATCAGAAACCGACCTACAAAAAATGTTAATGCTATAACGATATAGCCTTTGGCCATGACAACACGATATGCACACGGTGTGCAAAGCGTTGAGCGTTTTTTCGATCAATGACGTGGCTTCAATTGGTTGGTGGGAGAATCGAATAGGTATCATACCAATGACGAAGTTAGGAAAAGACGAGAGGGTACGATTGTTCCTTGTCCCTTCTTCTAATTTTTGTAATTAGAAGAAATATTTAAAATATTTAATTAAAAATTTAAGACGACAGAAATTTGTCCCCTCACGAAAAAACATATATAATTTTTTTTTGTATATCGTTCACCAAATTTCGGCTCTGTTACCAAGTCAAACTCTTAACAACTTTTCATCGCCACATAAATCAGTTGTCCCTTCATTTGACAATGCAATTAGGGACGGATACAGACTCGTCTTGAGAATTTGATTTGATCAATGATCTCGTTAAACTGGTCCAAAAAAATCGACAACCTGGATTGGTCTTGGTCCAGCCCGGTTTTGGACTGGTCCATTTGGTTTGATTTTTTTTATTTTTATAACAACAGATTTAATGTATTACATGTAATAATTATTAGTTTTACAATTAATTCATTTATTTAGTACTAGAAAGGTACCCGCGCAATGCAGCGGTGTACATTTTGATTATAATGTTTTGTTTTATATTTTGGGTCTCGATGTTATAATGCGATTTTATGTGGTTTTGAGGAAAAGAAAATGTTTTATTTTGAATTAAATATAAATTTGAAGATATTATAAAATTTTGAAAAAAATAAGCGATATTAGTATCAAATTAACTATCTAAATGTTCTCGTTATTGTGTAATTTCTTTAATTCGATTTTTTATTATAATTTAATTGAAGTTTAAAGACGACTTAATTTATTTTTGATTTAATAAATTAATTCGTTTTTAGAACTCAATAATTATCCTAATTATATTTTAGATATTTTATAATTAAAATGAGATGTTTATCCTTTAAGATTATGTTTATCTGCAGTTAGTTACACGAATTCAAACATGAAGCTTTAATAAGTTGTACTTATGCATAATTTACTTGTAATCTTGAATTTTAAGTAATATGCATTAATAAACAGTACTTCATGCATAAAAAAATGGTTTTAAGAGTTTTTGTGAAATGCTTTATAATATAGTATAGATATATGTTTCACAATTAATTTTTGTATTAAATGTACTATGACTGTTTGACATTTGCTGAATGGTTTAGTGCAGAATGATTAAAATACTCTTATGATATAGTGCAAAATTAAATATAATAGTTTGGTATTTGTTCAGAATAAAATTAGGGCGCCGAATGGTTAAGAGAGGCCTAAGATACAAAATTATTCATAGGGTTTTAGAACCATTAAGAAACATTTTTTTTTTGCCAAACAAGATTCACCTCTTAGGGATCAGAGGTTGCATCTTAATGGAACTATTAAGAGGTAAACAAACAGCCCAATTTTGTAAATGAAATTATGAAAACATTCTTAAATTAAGGGGCCGTTTACTAAATGCTTACCCGATAGGTGCTTACCAGGTAATTTTCCTCACTGGACGAACATGGCAAGACCTAAGAATCTTACCTGGTAAGAGCGATGATAAGGATAGAGAGTCTTACCCGGTAAGTGAGGGTGATGACTCTTACCCAGGTAAGCGCTTACCATATATATTGTTGCGTACGATACCATTTTGATATACTATAATCTTACCTAGAAAATAAATTATAGTGTTAACTCCTAACGATAAATGCTTACCCGGGTAAACATTTAGGTAAACAACCCTAAATTAATAAAAAGCAAATTTTTATAGATTTAAAAATGAAAACATACAAAAAACAAATAAAATTGCGATTTTTTTTTTACTATATTATACACCATTTACAACTTATTTATACATTTAAACTGTATAAACTAACTCATAAATCAATTAATAAACACGTCAAATACAATATAAACGTTGACTCCTTTTAAATTCTAATAAAAAATATTTCATAAAATTAATAATCAACAGAAAGTTCATCGTTGTCTCAAAACTCCAAGTTCATGAAATAAAAGTCAAAACAAACGAAATAGAAATATATTCTGCTACATTTTACACATCTACACTTTTAATATATAGAAATAAGGTCAGACTCAAGAAAAAACAGCAATTTTTTATAATAAAAAATCTGATAAACATCCTAATAACCATTCATCTTTACAATATACAAGTAGTTGTTGAATGGTTTGGTGCAGAATGATTAAGTGGTCATAATGATTAAGAGACTCTCATGATATAATACAAAATGAAATATGATTGTTTGGTAATTGTGTACAATGAAATTAGGGCTCTTAATGGTCTAAGGAGATCTATGATACAAAATCATTCAGGGGGTTTTTCGAACTATTAAGAGACAGATTTTTCTTTGACAAACAAGATTCACCTTTTAACGATTCAGATATTGCCTCTTAATGGAACTGTTAGGAGATAAACAAACAACCACTAAGGGGATATTTGTTTGGCTCTTAATGGTGACATTAAGAGTCAACCTCTTAATCGGTAAGAGGTCAAGACCGTTTGGCAAAAAAAAAAAAACAAGCTCTTAATGGTTACATTAACCTCTTAACCATATTGCACCTAGAGCTTCACTAAACCATTCAGATGTTCCTTTTTCCAACTCTGCCCTCCCAAGCCGTTCTTCACATCGCATCCCCCTCCATGGTTCCATTCGTCGTCTTCCCCCCCTCCATCGTCGGTTCCATTCGTCGTCTTCCCCCCTCCCATCCCCATCGTCGGTCTTCCATTCACCGTCTTCCCCCCTCCCATCGTCGGTCTTCCATTCGTTGTCTCCCCCCCCCCACGATCGTCGCCACCCCTACTGCTTCCCGCCGCTCTCTCCTCCCACACGAGATCCTCGTTTCTCATCCCACTCGATCGTGTTCTCCAGTGTCTTCTCCATCATCTCCGTTGTCTTCTACATCGTCTCTCACTCGATTTCAGGTATTTCCCTTCTGTCTCCTTTTTCCTTCCCTCTGCAATCACAATGTCGATGAACTTAGGGCTGTTTGAATGAGGTAATCAATTTTGATCGTTGGTGGATTCAAGTTATGAGCTAATCATTTTGGTATCTGTTGAATCAAGCCATTTTGGTATATGTTTATGTGTATTTGTTTATAAGTCATTTCCTTATTATGATGAGTTTTGCTTGATATTTGGAAAGAGTAGAGGCAATGAGAAGAGGATTAAAATGGTAATTTGTTGTCATTCAGAGAACATTTACTAAACAATCATATTTCATTCAGCACTTAACCATTCTGACCCTCTTAATCATTATGTACAAAACCATTCAGCAACTGCCAAACAGCCTAGGTATTTTTTTTCTAGTGTGCACACATGCGTAAAAACAAGGAACATCTTCAATTACTTGTATGCATACCTGCATGTCGTACAGATAAACGGTTATTAAAATGTTTTTTAATTCTTATTTTTTTAAACTCTTCTTTGAGGGGCTGTTTGGCAATTATTGAATGGTTCGGTGCAGAATGATTAAGTGGTCAGAATGATTAAGAGACTTTCATGATATAGTGCAAAATGAAATACAATTGTTTGGTAATTGTGTCCAATGAAATTATAGTTCTTAATGGTCAAGGGAGATCCAGAATACAAAATCATTAAAATGGTTTTAGAACAATTAAGAGGCAGATTTTTTTTTTGCCACACATGTTTCAAAACGATTTAATTTTTTTTTAATGAAACTAGTAAGAGGTAAACAACAATCCAGAAATGAATCTTTGACTCGATCAGGATCCGCGTATCTCGATATCGACCCAGTTTTAGTGCATTAAATAAGAGAAATGGTTGTTATTTACCAGTTGAAAAAACATATTTACATTTGAGTCCCTAAAATATTTCAGTACTCTCATTCACCCCTCAATCTTATATTTTCTTTCACTTTCGTCCCAATCATCGTCTCCGGGATGAGCAGCACGCAGGCGTTACACTCGCTGGCCTTCAGAGTAATGCGGCTATGCCGTCCAACGTTCCACGTTGAAACTCCTCTCCGATTTGATCCATTCGATCTCATCGTGGGAGAGGATATGTTTGACACTCCCTCCGCCGTCCCTAGCCTCCTCCTCCACCCTCATTCCGCCTCCATGGAACCCTCACCTGCCGATCTCACCTACCATAATCGGTTTCTCCTCCACGATGATTCCGATGCCATGGGCGTCCCTGGCCTCCTCGTCCTCCCTCAGTCCTTCGGGTTAGAACTTAGAATCATCTATTTATCACACAAGCACACACGATCCGTTAATCAAGTAGATATCCTGATCGCACATTTTTATTTAGGGCTACATCTGCTGATCTGCATTACTCTTTTCTAACAGAAATAAGCAAAACCAATATGAGATTTTGCTGATAAAATATCAGGGTTTTTCTGATCGTAGTGGTAGTGCATGTTATAAAATGCATCGTAATGTGTAGTTTCTTCTAGTCTCAAAACGATTTGAATTGCAGCTATCGCTATGAAATTCAATATTATCATCAAAAATTTCTCCAATTTTTTGTTGATAACTACAATTTCAAAGAACTTGATGTTATCATTGTGAAGTTTGATTTTGTTATCCAAATTTCTGGAGAAAATTTAAAGAACTTGTGGATTTCGAAGTCAGGAATATTAGCTTTTGTTTGGAGTATATACTATTTATGGGTCAGGTTCAGGAAAACCACAAAAACATGAAAATTTGAGAAACACCCCGGTAACTGTTCATCTGGATGGTTTGCATATGTGCATACTAGTAAATTGTAAGCAATTTGTCCGGTATAACATGCACATATGCATAAAAAACCAAGAAACAACTTCAATTACTTGTATACACATGTTCTCACTGTCTAGATGAATGATTACAATGGTGTTTCTCAGTTTTTCATTTTCTCTAAGGTTTCCCCCTGAACTTCCCTCATAATATTTATATACACAAATACTTACTTACACAACCCTTGACCTCTTAGATACTGACCTCTATCACTAACCCGGATACCGCCGGGCAAATGACCCTTACGGTGACAAAGAAAGATCATGAAGTCAACTCTTTCTTGAATGTCCTCACTGAATTGTGCCTGCAGAAAAAGGGTGGAGTTTTCATATCAAGGTCTCGGATTCATATCTGGCCCCACCGACCTTGCCCGAGGACACTGCAATTTACCTCCCCATGATGGGTATGGGACCAGTATGGTGGGGACTCTCTGGAGGGTGGAGGATAGCTTAAACCCTTTTTCCACAACCTCTTTTTTGAATTGAGTGATTGTTTATGAAATCAATAGATGTTAGTGAAGTTTGGTTTTTATGTATTTTGTTTGTAGGGCAATATATCTTGGGGAGACATTTTGTAGTTATATAAGTATCAACAACAGCTCAAATTTTGAAGTGAGGGATATAATAATCAAGGTGAGAGTTATTTACTTCATCTTAATTGTTAAAATTAATTCCATTACTAATTTGAGCATTTTGGCAAAGAGTGAATGGTTTGATCTTTAAATGTGGACGAAACAGAGAAGATGTCGGTGCCTGGTTTTTGTATGTTTGTTGCTGTGCTTGGTTAAGAGTAACAATGTCAACTCATTTGTGTGTGTGTGTGTATATATATATATATATTAGCAGAAAGGGGGAAGTTCAAATGAGAACCGTAAATGTTTTGAAAACTTGGAAACCAACTATTTCATGCATTATTCACGATGAAAAACTTTGAATAATCATGAATATGATGTATATTCATTATGAATATCTATCCTGACGTTTATCATGAATAAAGTATGGATAGTTGGTTCTCATGTTCTCAAAATATTTACATTTCTCATTTAAACCTGCCTATACCAGATCGAAAGAAAGTGGGAATTGGACTTAGTGAAGTTGGAATTGAATGCAGACTTGTGCATGATATGTATAATTTTACTTGAATGGGTGGTTGAAGGGATGTTGATGAGTACCTAATATTTCAAAGCCAAACAATTGTAAATTCAATTGTCGATCTCTTTTAGTGGAAGAAACTATTTACTTAAAGAAACATCGAATTTGATTGATTGATGGACTGACTGCAGTCAGAAATACAAACAGAAAGGCAAAGGATACTGCTTTTAGATACATCTAAAGCACCTGTTGAAAGCATACGAGCAGGAGGACGTTATGATTTCATTGTTGAACATGATGTGAAGGAGCTTGGTGCACACACGTAGGTTATGTATTCGAAGGATAATCTCATAATTGTGCTTCCCTTCTATTTTTATCGTCCAATTCTGTTGTAGTTTCACCATCTACTTACGCTTCACAATCTTCAGACTGGTCTGCACTGCTCTGTATTATGATGGTGATGGCGAGCGCAAGTATCTTCCACAGTATTTCAAATTCATAGTTTCGAATCCACTTTCTGTTAGGACAAAGGTACCACTTTGGTATGGCTTTGCTATGTTATTTATAAGGCAATGCATAGGCCTTGTAGGGGCAAATATTTTGAGAACCGTGAGAACCTACTGTTCATGAATTATTAATGATGATTATAGTGATAGATATTCATGATGAATATCATGAATAACGAAAATGCATGATATTTGTGATGAATAATATTGATGAATAATTAATGAGTGGTTGGTTCTCAAAATATTTACAGTTTGTAAATGAACTTTCTCCATGCCCTATATTCAGTTATATATGTAATGCTGTTATTTTGTTGCATATATTTTGTTTTAAACATCTTGATCAGTTGTTACTTTCTTATGCAGGTCCGCGTTGTGAAGGTAGTTTGGCATTGGTTAACATACATGAGCTTAAGTCTGCATTTTTGCCTATGTATGTGTGCATGCGTAATTAAATGATCCGAAGACTTGTTAAAGAGACTTTTATTTTGTGTCCAAATTGTAGTCGCATGGGTCATTTTACTATGCGATCAGCCAAGATACCTTATTTGAACTGTCTTATGCTTATGTTTTAACATGATATCTATCCTCTCCGTAAAGCATGCGGCATGATTTGATAATAGATGTGGACTTTTCCTGTGATTATGTGTTAAGGGGTAGGTTTATTTGAGAACCGTGTGAGAACCAACTATGCATGATGAATATCGGGATAGATATTTGTGGTGAATATAATGAATGATATTCATAGTGAGTAATATTCATGAATAGTTCGGACTCAAAATACTCGAATTATTTATGGTTCCTAAATAAAGTTTCACCTGTGTCTTAATACATAATCTAGTTGTCCAAGATATGTGTATGCACAAGTATACATAATATATTTCTTCCTCACCTCTTCCATCTCAGGAAACTACTTATTTGGAGACTTGCCTAGAAAACAATACAAAATCAAACCTGTTTATGGACCAAGTGGAATTTGATCCAGCTCCATGGTGGAGTGCAACATTACTTAAAGCTGATGCTCACCATTCACAGAAGGGTTGTTCGGCTAGGTGATGCAACAAATTATTTACATAAATAGAGAGAAGTTCCTTTAAGAACCCAAAATTGATTAGGAACCCGGAAACCGCCCACAACATGCCATTTGTCCCTTTCCAGGATGAATGTTCATCATGAATAACACATTCATAACGAATATGGAAGTGTTATTCATCATGAATCACACATTCTTGACGAATATGTTACAACATTCATGATGAATAACGCGCCCATATTCCTGGTGAATATATGCCACATGTTGCGCTGTGGGCGGTTCCTGGGTTCCTAATCAATTAGGTTCTCGACAAACCTGATAATCCCAAAATTTTAGTTTCTGAACGATTTCCGAGTGGTTATGTAACAAGATTTTGAACTAAAATTCAAGTTTACCAATTGTAACAGAGAAATATTCAAGCCACCCATTCTTCTTAGAGCAGGAGGAGGAATTTACAACTATCTCTATGCATTGAAAATGTCAGCTGCACCAGCGAAAGTCGAAGTGAGTAATGTCCTTGGTAAACTCCAGATAACATGGCGTACAAATTTGGGGGAACCTGGGCGCTTGCAAACACAACAAATAATTGGCAATGTAAGTGAACCAACTTGAATACAACCTTAACAGAATAGCTTTCTTTGCGGCTTTATATGCATGGTTCAAACAATTATATTATTCTTTAGTGTTGCATGTATCAATGGTACAATAGGAATATTTGTAGTTACACCATCATGAAGTCTGGTTTATACATTACTACAAAATCGGATTTATAGGAAGCCAAGGATGTCAAAATGTTAAAGATTGTTTCATAGGACTTAAATATAGGACCAAACAATTGTATGTCCTATTCCTATATAAAGGTGTTACAATAGGATGTATTTGGGCGTTCTAACAACTTTTTGGGACACTTTTGAAATAAAATGTCCTATGAACACAGGACACTTGTTTTTATAACAAGACACTTTCTCAAATAATGTCATATAAAAGGAGTTAAGGACTCATAGGGCACTTTATTTTAAAATTTTCCTCAAAACCTTGTTAGACAGTAGACACCCAAAGGTGTCCTATCAACTTATTGCAACACATTTATATAGGACACACAATTGTTTGGTCCTATAAACTTAAATCCTATAAAGCATTCTATTAGGACATTTAGACATTTTTTTGGCTTCTTATGAAGCCAATTTTGTTGTAGTGACGGTATAATGAAGTTAGTAATACAATGCTCTCGTGGCTCCAACTCTTACCTTATGAGTTCTTTGCCATCTGATTACTCTTTTCATTTTTGTGCAGTCCACCATGCGAAAAGAGATTGATTTGAAAGCAGTGCAAGTGCCATCTGCCATCATCTTAGAAAAGCCCTTTACGGTGAGTGATATTTTTTCATGATCATATGTACACACATCTAATTGACGAATTTGGAGATAATAACTTCATACCAATTGTTTTTCCCCAGTAAAGATGTTACGTATTTCTTCATAATAAATATAGAGAACAAAAGTTCAAACTCTTCAATTTGTTTTGTGAAGATCCATGCTTGATTCTTGCTAGAAAGGGAAGACATTTATTTTTCTTTTCCATCTGTTAGTTGTAAATAGCTATAGCTTAGGGATCTGTATGTAATTTATTATTGCTTATTAGTCCCTCTCTAATCCTATAAATAGAGGGCTCATCTAGTCTTGTATACACATCTTATATAATACCAATTCGGTTTCACACCATTTACACCATCCATAGAAAGTGAAAACTATATCTATCTAAGGATTTGTTTGTTGGCAGCTTAATGAGCCTAATGAGACTCACAACTTATTCGGTCAGCTATACATGACTGTTTAGCTTAATGATATAGAGAGTGGATTATTTAGTAAGCTTTTAGGGGGAGTTTTATGCAGAAAGTCAAGTTTTTTCCACACCTGCCCCTCTCAATTAAAAAACACTGTCCTTCCATCTATGAAAAAACCCTACTAAACAAAAACCTTCTCAGTCTCTATAAACAAATTAATACACACAGACAACTTTATTCATACAGGACTTAATGAAAAACCAACCAAACAACCCCTAACTATCATACAGATCAAGTCAAAAGTGAATTGACCAGACACGAAACAGTGCAACATGGTCTCAACAAATGCCATTACCAACCGGCAGCTATACCACATATACACTATGAAACAAAGATTAAGTAGCACTTATGTGTCGCAAAAACTATCTACTCTTTGGGGTAGAGGTCAGGTCTGATATATAGATATATAAATATATTATGCCAAGCTAGTATAATCTTGGAGATGGTTGGAAAAGAGTATCTAACAAACATATTATCCTTGATCCTTTTGGGAAAAAAATATTGATTGCTGATTAAATTTATCTTTTATTATCCATTACAATATCCCGATCCTTATTCCGTGCCCATCATGAATCAAAAACTTTATCCAATGCTTCTGTAGGTACACTTGAGCCTCACAAACCTGACTGGGAAGAAGCTCGGACCCTTCGAAGTTTTGTTATCGCTGAGTGATTCAAGAGAGGAAAAGGCTGTTATGATTAGTGGACTTCAAAGGATGGTAAGTGTTCAATTGGATTTTTGCAATCTATATGTTATCATTAGATAGCACTGGTTTTTATATGCCAAACTCTACTTACAAGATTTTTATGATAGCTTGTCCTCTATTCAGTATCTTTCTAATTAGATTATAATGCTGTCATATTAGATTCATCTGCATAATTCTGGTCCTGATCTCAATGCACTAGAACAACATTGGCTTTATACGACGCCTAGATTGTCTAAGCATCCTAATAGAATACTTTATAAAACTTATGTTTATAGGACCTAACTATAAAGCGTCTTATCTGAAAGCGTTAGAATAGTTTAAGATGCTTTTAAAATAAAGTGTCCTATTAGCTATTTTATAGGACACTTTTGAGAAGTGTCTTATAAACCCATCTTTTTATAGGACACTTGTGTTTATATGACACTTTTTCAAATAGTGTTGTATAAAATAGTTGATACGACACTTTTTCAAATAGTGTTGTATAAAATAGTTGATACGACACTTTATTCTAAAAGTCCCCTAAAAATTTGTTAAAATGCCTAAAAGCATCCTATAAACCTATGTAACACTTTTAGACCGAACGTTTTTTGGTTTAGTGTATTCTAAAATCAATTTTGTTGTAGTGATGATTCAGAAACTTTCTATTTATTCGTACATTTTCTTTCATTTCTATCCCCCGTTTTCTAGACTCTATCTTAATTTCCCCTCATATCACTTAAACAGGACTGGCAATCACATCTTAATTTATCTTCATGCGATACAAATGAGACCCAGAAAATGGGAAATCAGAAAGTCCCAAAAGAATGAACCTTGATATGCTCAGACCTTGTATGTTAGTGTGTCAATCTTGATCTCATAGAAAGATGGGTTCTTAGTACTAGTAATCAAATTTAACTCATTTTGCAGAATTTACCAGTGGTCGAAGCATTTGCATCCCTGGAGTTTCAGATGGTAAATACAGCACGTCTTACGCCTTCTATCGTTCTTTCTTTTCTGGTAACCATGGGTGTCGGCACCAGCTTGCACGCATCTCGACCGACTCCATGAGGCCCTGAACACAAGTATCAGGAAAATCCTCCGTGGGGTCCTAATGAGACTCGAACTAGCGGCGTATGGGCCTTCCACTGTACTTTCTTAAAGTAACCATGAGTGTTCGGGCCATCTTTTGTGCATCTTGACCAGTCCCTTGGGGACATGAAGATAATAGTTAGGAAAATCCCCAGTGGCCTGTGGGGCCCTGAGGAGACTCGAACTAGTGACCTATGGGCTGTTCCTTTTTTAAGTAACCATGGGTGTCTGGGTCATCTTCCATGCATCTCGACTAGTTCCATGGGGCCTGAAGATAACAGTCAAGAAAATCCCCAGTGGGGCTCTGATGAGACTCGACCTAGTGACCTATGGGCCTTCTACTATTCTTTTTTAAGTAACCATGGGTGTCTGGGCCATCTTGCATGCATCTCGACTAGTACCATGAGGTCTTGAAGATAACAGTCAAGAAAATCCCCATTGGGGCCCTGATAAGACTCGAACTAGCGACCTATGGGTCTTCTACTGTTCTACAAACCTTCTTTTATGACATCCTGCAAAACCATTCTTTAAAAAGAAAAAAAGTTCCACATGATCTAACCTTTTGGTTGCTTAGATATCTGATATATTTCTAAAGACAATCACTCGAGTATCTGATATTTACACACTATTCCATTGCTTATCATCTTTGTAAATTCTGATCCTTTGCGGTCACATTTTTTTGCAGAATCTAATCTCCGCTAAACTTGGAGTGCAGAAAATCACCGGCATTACGGTGTTTGATACAATGGAGAAGAAAACTTATGATCCATTGCCGGATCTGGAGGTCAGTTTATGTAGGCCTTGTCCTGCATCTTTTTCATCTCTTCATCTGCATTTTATCCTTTAAAAAATCTAAATAATTAACCAAAAATAGAATCAAGGAGTCGTTTACCAACACAAATTGGGTAAGCGCTACCCTGGGTGAGAGAACATAAACTGATGCGGTAAGTGAAATTACAATACCGGTCAGGTAGGTGCTCGGTCAGGTCAACACCTACAGTCAGATCAGTCCCTAGGTAAACAAGCTTATGATGACTGAATCACCAGTGGTGCCCATAGATATATCCCCTATTGGGTGAACGACCATAGGTCCCGTGTATGTAATTATCCGTCTTTTGTTTGGTTATCGATATAAAGGCTTTGTTAAAACCCAAATGGAATGCAAGCATAAAATCCCACTTGGAAGTAGGGTCTGACGGGTAAGATGTACCGTGTACGTGGAGTCGTGGACCATACCTCCTCCCCTAGGGACAGAGAAATTGTTTCCGTGAAGACCTCATGCTTGCATAGTCCATGAGACATATGAAAAAATAAATAAAAGAAAAAGTGTGTGCGAACATACAATATGACAATAACAATAATAATAACAATAGCATCAGTAAGAGCGAATACGATTAAAATGAATAAAGCCGATCAGGGCGAGTACGATAGAGAAGGACTACGGCCTATGTGCCATCCCTATCTGTCGGCTCTCTACCCCTCCCCCTCTCTATATAAAGGCTTGGTTGAGTGAACTAATTTAGCTACCACTACAACAAAATTAACTTTACACGATACCTAGATTGTCTAAGCGTCCTAATAGAATACTTTATAGGACCAAATTGGTACGTCCTATCTAAAAGTGCTACAATAGGTTTATAGGATGCTTTTAGGCATTTTAGAAAGTTTTTTACGACACGTTTAAAATAAAGTGTCCTGTTAGCTATTTTATAGGACAATTTTGAAAAGTGTCTTATAAACCCATCTTTTTATTGGACACAATTAGGACGTTTTTTTGGTTTGTTCCTATAAACTAATTTGTAGGACACTTCTACATTTTAGGCGTCTTATAAAGTCAGTTTTGTTGTAGTGTATGCATGTTATTGATATGGTTTACAACCGTTCTTATTACGCCCTTTTGAATACGTTGCAGATATTCGTTGAATCAGATTTATGAGCTAATCTCTTCGAACGAGTTTCTAATGGTAAAAGCAACGGGCATCCTACACTACCCCGTGATCTTAGGGGAATATGGCAAAGTTGGAGCCGTGTCTCGTGTCGCAGTGTGCCATGATGAACTGTTGCTATGTTCGGAAGAAGACTAGGATAAACCAATTAGTTTATGACTTACATTTAGTAACATTTTTAACCTCTAGGAAATAAATGTAGAAGCTCTATATCGCGTGTCACTATGGCATCAATAGTGATCTCTACCCATCTCACCGCGCTCTCCGTGTGCATGTACGCACGTTTGCATCTACACGAGCACCATCGTGATGACTAGGTGGGTTGGTTCTTTTAACGAACTATGATTGCGTACAACTTGAAGTCTGAGCTAATCGGTGAATGTATGAAGGACAAGACCGATAATTGGTTAGAACCCTTGTTTCTGACGGTTCTAACCGGTGATGGTTCTAAGCGGTACTTTAGTCTAACAAGTAATGAGGTGGACATCCTTGAAGAATGAATAAGAGGTTTGGGGTTCGAATCCTGACACCATCCACTTGTCTGTGTGGACATGTGCATCCTCCATGATGGTTGTGGGATTTGTATAGTGTGGGTGTTGTAGAGGGTGGCATATTGCCCCTTTTACAAGAAAAAAATATACTCCCTCCGTCCCAAAAAAATAAGGGTCGTTTACCAAACACTTACCCGGTAAGCGCTTATCGGTAAAATTTAACACTATCATTTATTTACCGGGTAAGATTTTAATCCAGCAAAACAATATCGTATGCAATAATTTACCAGGTAAGCGCTTACCGTGGTAAAAGTCGTCGTCTTCACTTACTGGGTAAGACTCTTGGTCCATGTCTCGTTATTACCGAGTAAGATTATTGGTCCTTACATATTCATCCGGTAAGGTAATGTAACTTGGTATTCACTTACCCGAGTAAGCATTTGGTAAACGGCATCTAAGTGTCTATATCTCTATTTTAGTTTGGTTCAAAATAAGTTTCCACTTTCAAAATTTAAATATTTACTTTTTCGTTATACCCTTAATTATAAGATGACGAAAATTTCTATCTATTATTAACAGTAAAATTGTACTTTGATTAATTAAAAATTGTTAATAATTACACTTTTTTAAAATTATGTGTCATTTTCATTGTGGATATTTACTTTGTGACGAAGGGAACATAGACAGATATTATTAAGAAGTATAGGACCAATTCTACGAGGTCTTTACTGGTTTCGATACTTTTTTTAAATTTATTAACCGTTCTTTAGTCGAACGGGGTAAGAAGATGGGCATCCACGCAAAATAAATGAGACGTCAGGGGGGGTTCAAATCTAGACGTTACCACACCCATCTGCCCGTGGGTTATTTACGTCCTCCATGATGAATGATGATCGTAGGACCTGTACAGTTGAGACATTCTAGAGGATGACATCGTTTTTTTTTCTTACGAAGACAAGGATTATAGAACCTATGAATTAGAATATGTAGATGATAGGACTTGCATTTTTATGAAATTTGAAACTTTGATAAATAAATAAAATTCTTCAATTTATATAAGGACAAATTGCATGAAAAAATAACGTAGTTTAACTTGATTTCTATTTTGGGTAACGTATTTTAGAACTTTCATTTTGGTACCTAAGATGTAAAGTTTTGAACATTTAAGTATTTGGGTAACCAGTTGAAGCATTAACCGATTATCATGTTAATGTGTATCCACTTCAGTATTATTTGCTGACGTGGTTAGTGGCATGGATGTATTTTAATATAAAATTAGTCTTTTTTTTTAATCTAAAATTAGTCTTCAACTGGTTACCCGTGTACTTAAATATTTAAAACTTTACATCTTAGGTACCAAGATGGAAGTTCTGAAAGTACGTTACCCAAAATAGGAATCAAGTTAAAGTACGTTACTTTTTCATACAATTTGTCTTTTATATAATAAAAAGAAAAAATACTTTTTAATATGATTGGATTTCTTGTCCTAGTGGAAGATTTATTTGGCCTAACGAACCGTAAAAGGTCCTTTATGGTCCCGATTTGGCTTTTAGGACGGTCATGTTAAAAAGGTGTCGCAGATATTGACATGAATTTTGTATTTTGTAGCTGAAGGTTTTATACCTTGACATATTTCAACTGTATACATGATAACGTTGTGGAGTTATATCAGAGTGTTTGAAAAGACTACAGATATTAAGAGTCTTTATTTTTCTACTTACTGGAATATTACTAAAACTGATTTGATACCTGGAGTCTTGATCAAGATACAAAACTTGGGAGCCGTTTACCATACACTTACTCGGTAACAGTTTGCCAACATAAGAAATTCCCCTTATTTACCTCATCATCTAACATTTTTAACCGTAAAAATGGATTGTTAGGAAGCTTCTTAAACCCCGTAAGCGTTTATTAGATAAGATTATTTTTTTCTCACTTATCGAGTAAAACTTTCGACCCTTGTTATGTCTCTTACTAAGTAAGATTCTTAGTCTTTATCATATTTAATCGGTAAGGTAAATTTAAGTTACAACAATCAGCTTTATATTGTTAGAAAAGTCGATTCTAATTCTGTTTTTATCCTTTTTAGGACAAAAGTAAATTGATTTGAAAAGAAGTTGTAGCAATAAAATTGGTTTTTTAAGAATAAATAAAAAATTATCTTTTTTTAATCAAAATTTGTTACGATTAACTACTTTATTTTGATTATAATTATTTAATATCGTAACAATTATTTTGAGAACACAAATTCAAACACTTTAAAATTGAGGAACCATATATATATATATATATATAGGCTCATTCAAGGGAGAACTGATTAGTTTGTGATAACTGTGAGATATAATCTCAACCACAAATTAACGAATAAATTAGAAAATTAATAATTATGGTAGTTTGAGTTAAAATTATAACTAGAGGACATTTTAGGTATTTTTAAAAAACTTCTCTCTCCTTTCTCCTTTCTCCTTTCTCCTCTCTCCTTTCTCATCTCTCTGACCTCCAATTTCCGGCCTCCGGTGAACATTAATCCGACAGGTACCAAGTAATCACAAAGATACACAATGTGATACCCATTGTGATATATTGTGATATCATTGTGATACCAACTATGATACCAACTCAAACCTTAAAAACAAAGATACACAATGTGATACTCATTGTAATACACAATGTGATACACATTGTGATATATTGTGGTACTGTTGTGATACCAACTGTGGTACCGTTGTGATACCAACTGTGGTACCATTATGATACCAACAAGATGACCGGAGGAGGTCACCGGAGTGGTGGTGGATGCCGGAGAAGGTCACCGAATTTGGTCTCGGTGTGTGTGTGTGTGTATATATATATATATATATATATAATTGAATAATCAACATAATTTACTAATTTACCTTTTGTTTTATTTTAATAAATAACATTAATTATCTAAAATGATTGGCTCATATTGGATCTCACAGTTATCACAAACTATCTAGTTCTCATTTGATTAAGCCCTTATATATATATATATATATATATATATATATATATATTGGGTTCATGTGAGACAAAGATGTTTTCGTGAGACACGATTTTTACACTTAAAACTTCACAACAAAATGTTGTGAAGATAAAAAAGCCGAATCTTTACAGCAAAACACTGTGAAGGTTATATTCATAATGTTTTATTGTGAAGTTTCAAGTGTAAAATCGTGTTTTACGAAAACAGTCTTGGCACACACACATATATAAATATATATATATATATATATATACACCATTTACAAAAACGTACAGAGTTGGTTCTATGGTGTAGTGGTTAGCACTCTGGACTTTGAATCCAGCGACCTGGGTTCGAATCCCGGTAGGACCTTTTTTTCCGTCAGAACTAGAAAAAAATGAGAATTTTTTAGTTTTTTTAATTTTTTAATTTTTTAATTTTTAATTAAATCTAAAAAATAACTATTTAACCATTTGATTTTTGACTTATCAGTTTTTATTTATTTATGAAAATGACATCGCTGTTGGCTCCTTTGGGTTTTTATTTTATTTTATTTTATTTTAAAGTTATATTTTCCAGTTTTGATGACAAAATATTTATATTTTGTTTATGATTTAACCATCAAACAACTTTTGGTTATTGTGGTATGAATAATGAACTTGTTCGTTAAATCAGATATCATAGAGACTTTGGTCGCGTTCTAAGTCGTCTGTGATGAAACATTTGGTGATTGTGTCGTTTAGGTTCACGATTATCACACTGTTATCATACCCAGTGGATACAAGATGATTGTAATGGAAAATTTGGTGGTTGAATCGATTAGGTTCACGATTATCACATTGTTATGTCATAGAGATTTTGAAACTTCAGATATGATGGGGAGAAAAAGATGGGAAGAAAACGATGGACGTTGTACTCAACATGATCGATCTCAAGGTAAAATGATAGGATAATTTCAATTAATTAAAATAAGATAAAAATTATGAAGAATATCTAATTACATTACTACCCTTAATGATTTATTTTTATTTAATATAACTTAAGTTATTGGTTAAAAAAGTTTGAGGCCCGCAAGTGTTCTCGCATTCTCGTAAATCATATGAGTTCTCGTTTGAACTCTCTCTCTCTCTCATACACACACACACACACACATATATATATATATAGTTTGATTTATATTAGAAGAATAACTAAATAAGAGAACACAAAAGCGGACAAATCACATACGATTTTACACTAACATCATGAGTAAAATCATATGTGATTTACGCGACTTTAGCTACAATCTGAGTTTTGTGAGTCAGGTCACCTACTCGCCCCTATGTTGATAGTGTTCTGTAATCGCATGTAAAGTCATGTCACTTGTCTGTTTTCTTGTTTTACTTATTTTGAACATGTTCTCATTTGATGCCCCATATATGTTTATCTTGTATTTGATTATGTTTATCTGCAGTTAGTTACACGAATTCAGATATAAAGCTTTAATATGTTGTACTTGCGCATAATCTACTTG